TTATGACTGAGACGTTGTAAATCTAAGAAATGATGAAATGGTCAAAAATCCAGCATGTCCTCTGCCTAAATAACAGTTATTACATAGATTTCGGTGGCATTAATAAGTACGTTAAGCATACAAACTAAAAAGTAAATGGTTTCTGTTGTCTCATGTAATTAATTTGACAAGGGTAAATGGAAATAAAATATTTCACACATTTGAGAGAATGAAAAATGTGGTGTTACTTTTAGGACTGTGTATGTGTGTGTGTATGAGGCATTACATATATATGTATATTCATGTTGTTTTTATCAAAGTCCTACTTAGTAAGACCAATGAATTTATGAAGCTTTCTTACAGAGAACAAGGGAGAAGTTATTTACAGGAGCGTGGATGACACTCAAAGAGAACCATCAAATCCCATGCCATCATGGAGAAGGTATTTATGGAAAGTGTATCATGGAGTTGTGATTCTGTCAACCATCATGTTCTGCATATAAAACTAGCACCTCTCAAGACTTCTTGCAGAGGAATTTACTTATGTTTCATTTTACTTTACGATGTTTGTAAATCACTTTTATGGTTTAAAGATAAACATTAACTTACTTATTTACACATAGCTTTTTTATTTCCTGCTCCAGGCACTTAACATACTGCCCAAAATATTCTAACATTTCATTAAATATTTTTTATATAATTTTGTAATCTTAAATTTTTTGTATGAATCAGTAATATCTACACATGTTGGGAAAATATAAATGTCTATGTATAACTTACTGTTTGTTCTAATGATTAACTTGAGTTAATTGAATTGTTCTAATATTATACCTTGAACAGTTATTTAAGTAGATAATATCAGAGTGGTTTGAGTCAACCAAAGACCCGTGCAGGAGAGTTCTTAAACTGAGGAATTTGATGCAAGTCTAGATAACATAGAAAACTAATTCTCATAAAACTAAAACTGTAAAAATAATGTTTAAATTATTTTATGTTCACATCTATCACACCAACAACTGAATCACTGCACTTACAATGTTTGATATAATTTAGAGTATGCAATATGAAGATAACTATAAAAAGATAAAGAATGGTTAAATAGCCTTGGCAAGTCTCCTACCTTCTAGTTCACTTTTATTCGTGTGTGTGTGTGTGTGTGTGTGTGTGTGTGTGTGTTAACATAATGAAATTTTTGGCACAAATTTAGAAGCATAACATTTACTAAGTTTTGTTATAAATATAAGAGGCAGCACTTAGACATACAAGTGTGAAATACAAAATTTTCAGCTTAAACAGAAATATTAAGTTACCCTGTAATAAAGTTGTTAAAAAATCATGAATTTCAAATTAAACATGTTTTTACAGATTTATTTCAATATAACTAGGTGGAAATCAGTTTCACAACAAATAATATAATGTTGGGAAAATTTTAATGTGTGTACTATAAGTTGATTATTTTATACTTTGAAAGCAATGAAATAGCATAGTTAAAACCATGACACTGTATAACATTATATCTCATCTGAATAAAATTTATTCAACCATCCATAAATGTATTCAGCAAATATTATCAAACACTTATTGTGTGTAAGGTACTTTCCCTTGACAATTATCTTAGTTGGGATTTCTTTTGCCATGAAGAGACACCATGACCATGGAAACTCTACTAAAGGAAAACATTTAATTTTGGCTGGCTTACAGTTTCAAATGTTTACTCGATTATCATCGTGGGAAGCATGGCAGTGTGCAATTAGACATAGTGTTGGTGAAGGAGCTGAGAGTTATAAAAGCTGATCTTCAGGCAGCAGGAAGAAACTGCATTCCACATTGAGCAAAGCTTGTGCATATGAAAACTTAAAGCCCACCCAGCAGTGACACAATTCCTCCAACCATACCTATTCCAACAAAGCCACACCTTCTAATAGTGCCACTCCCTAAGGTTCAAAAACATGTGTCTATGGGGACCATACCTACTCAACCCACCACATTCTACATTCTGGTCCCCATAGGCTTGGAGCCATAACATAAAGTAAAATGTGTTTAGGCCAACTTCAAAAGTCCAATAGTCTAGCATAGTCTTAACAATGTTTAAAAGTCCAAAGTTCAAAGTCTTTTCTGAGATTCATGCAATCTCTCAACTGTAATCCCCTATAAAATCAAACAGCAGATCATGGACTTCCAACATATAATGACAGAGGATATACATTAACTTTCCAAAATGGAGGAAAGGGAACATAATGATGAAATATAAGATTAAAGCAAGATCAAAAACCAGCAGGGTAAACTCCAAACTCTGCATCTCCATGGCTGATGTCAAAGTGCTCTTCAGATCTCCAACCAGACTTTGTTTACTGTAATATCCTTGGAGGATGCCACTGGGCTAGGACATTTGCAACCCGTGGCTGCACACTCCTAATTTCTTTGAGTTTGTCAAGGCCTGATGACACAAGACACCAAGTTCCTTGGAGATAGCAGCAGGTCCTGGGGTGCAAAGGGTATATCTCAAATAAGTTCAGCTCAGAGTTTGATAACATACAATTGACTGAAGGTCTTACACCCATGCTCAACATTAGCCAGCAGCATGAAAACATAGAGGACTCCCAATCGGCCTGGGTGACAACCCACCTCCCCTCTTTCGAACATGGCTAATTTAAATATTATTGAAGCCAGAAAGAGACTGAATTTTTTACTCTAATTACTGTTTTTTTTTCATTTTACACAATTTTACTTTATTCTTTAGACATTTTTATCCATTTTGGTTTTATTCCACTTTGTTCACTATGTAATTTTCTTCATTTTATAGTAACAATTTTGTCTTGTGTTCTTTTCTTCTTTCAGACAATTCTTTTCATTTGTTCTGTAGGTAGACTTTTCTATCCCACTAACCACTTTCCGAATAACCACACACAGACTTCCTTTTAACCATAAATTCTCAGCCAATAGCTCTGGCTTGTTTTTAGTCAGCTCTTGAACTTAAATTAACCCATTTCTATTAATCTATGTGCTGACCCAAGGCTTGTTTACCGTTTACCTCATGTACGTACTTCCCATGGCATTTCCTCTTCACTCCTCAGACTCTGCCCTTCTTCCCAGCATTCTTTCTGTCCTGAAAATCCTGCCTAGCTATGGACCAGTCAGGACTTTATTAACCAATTAGAACAACAGGATTATTCTACAGTATCACTCTTCTGCTTTTCTTTATCCCTTGGTGCTTTATCCCACTCCATATGTGTAATTGCCATTTATTATTATCATATATAGCTTTATTAATTTATCTTTGTAGTTTATTTGACATTACTTGTACTGATTTATTTTTATACCTATAGAAATTGCACTGATTGAACTTAGTTTGATTTCTGTTGAGCCACAGAGTACACTGAAAATGAAGGTCAATGAAAATCAATCATCAATTCATTTTTAGAACTAGGTTGTATCACTAGGGAATGGTCTGGGAATCATTTCATTTTCAAATGAACCATTTCTGCTTGGAGTCAAGGGTCAGAAATCCAGCATCAGTTAAAGTGATCTCAGTGGCCTCGACGTTAAATATGAACTAAAGGTCATATTCACCAGGGCTGCTGTGCCCTGTATGTTGGTCCCCGTGGACATAAGGTCACAGAGATTTCAGAACCATGCTACAAGTGCCAATAGAAATGGTGTTGTTAGCAAGTCTCTTGCCCCTGAAAACAACAGGTAAGATAACTTTAGATGTTGCAAGTTGATACAGATAAGGAAGGAAAAATTTATTTAAGCACATCTACTTGTCAAAATAGATAAATCAATAAAGGCAGATCAACACCTGGAGTTGATCAATTTCAATAACATAGCCAATTAGAATAATAATTATAGTCAATATATTGCACAGAGAATGTAAGACACTTCATATTCTATCAAAATACAATTTCTTCATGTAACAATGAGCTCTAGATACAGCATGTTCTTTCAGGTGTGCGTGTGTGTGTGTGTGTGTGTGTGTGTGTGTGTGTGTGTGTGTGTGTGTGTGTG